AAAGATGCAGATTCAAAATTCAAAGCATGGTTTCTCCTGAATGCATATAACTTTTGCACCAAGGTAAAGCTGAAAAATTGTAAGTCAAACCATTGTAAGTTGGGGACCTCCTGTACACATATATCAATTATTTTGGTTGTACATGTTAAATTTACATAATGTTATGTGTCAGTTATATCTCAGAAAGCTGGAGAAAAAAACAAAAATGGAAAGAATTTTGCCAAGGTAAATACTTTTCAAAATGAATATGTGATTAGGTAGGGTTTAGGAGTCCTTTATTATAACGAGAGAGTTTTGAGGAAATAGAATTTTCCGGAGCATGTTTTTACTCTTTACATTTACTCTCAGTATAAAACCACCCCATCCCTTTGTATCACCTTCCATCAATCAATTTCTTTGCTCACCAGGCATTTATCAGTTGGGAAATGGTTTACATTTGACAGAGAAGCCCAAAACAGATGATGCATTTCTGCTTTAATTTTTTAAGAAAAATGCCTGTCTTTATGTGTGGACCAAACGTAAAAATCAAATAAGTAACATGGATAGTAGGGACTACCATAAAACTATTAGTTCACCGGTAACTGGGATTAATGTAGACCTCAGAGCTTTCAATGACCTTTTCTGACCTCTGCTGGACACATTTGGGATTACATGGATCTCAAGGCCAAAGCACCAGCAAAATTAGAATTTTAGAATGGATGTTTACAGAGTGTCTCACTTAAATCCCTCATTTCAGAGATGAAGAAGAAAGTAAGTCCCAATGGATTTATATTATTCCTCCAAAGTCATTCAGTTACGTAGTGGCATATTCAGGATAAGTACCTATAAATGTATCCCAATAAAACTCAGATGTGCAAACATTGATGAACTCCATTTGGATTATCTTTGGGAATCATCATGATTAGAAATGATAACAGCTAACGCAGACAAAGTAGTTGATAACAAAAAATAAAAATTAGGACTATTTGGGTAAGGTTGTAATTATCTTCGTATCCCATATCTCATAACCCCATAATTATTGCCAGTCACTATTTGATGACATATGTAGAGTAATAGAGAAGAGATTCAGAGAATTCATTTTCACAAAAAAATATTTAATTGCAAATCCCTTTTCCTGATTATGGTTTATTAAAATTAGTTTGCATTCCCAGAGGAAATTTTAATTGACTATGGGAGAAAAGACTGCCCAGGGTTAAAAGCACTGTTCCTTTGAAGAACTAGCTCTGTTAGTGTCCTGCAAAGGCCCTTGAGACCTAAGAGAGGTTTCTAGAGGTCTCTGGTGCTTCCTCAGCCAGAAGTTCCAAGTCTCTCCTTTCAGATGTGTCTAGGTCAGAAAGCTGAATGACCAATGAAATATATAGTCAGCTTATTCCACATTTTAAAAGGCCCAAATGCATAGCATTTTGTAGATAAGTAGAGTATCATGTTTGACAGAACATAAGCTTTGGAACCATGCAGGTAGTGGCTACTTGCTAGCTGTGTGAGCTTAGGTGAATTACTTAACCTCTTTGAGCCTCAGTGTCCTCCCCTCTAAAGTAGGAATCGTAAATGATACCTTTCCAGAGAGTTGTTTGAGAATAAATGAGACAGTATATGCAAATCCTTAGCACAGTACCTGATTGGCCGAGGGGCGGGATAGTGTTAGTTTCTCCCATGATATTAAATACAACAGATCTTAATGGTGGAAGTTATACTAGTTTTGTTTTACCCACAGAAAATACTAATTTATGTGTTTATCATAAAGGAAGTCTCAGTTCTGTCCCTCAAAGACCTAATAAAATATTCTGAAATGGACAAGACATACTCACAAATGCTTCAAGAGAGGGGCAAAACATCCCCAGGCCAACATTTTTGTTGTTTGCTTTTGTGGTTTTGTTGTGCCTTTTCCACACTAAAAAGCATCCTTAAAACTTGGCAGCTAAATTGATTGATTCAATTAGTTTGTTGATTGGGTGATCTTGTGTGTGTGTGTGTATTTAAACATTTCACAGGCACTTGCTCAGCACATTCTTCAAGAAAGGAGTCTTTGTCAATGAGAAACTGCAGATAATGATACCTCCCTGAGTTATTGAAGTCCACCTAGGCTATCTTTTGTTGCAATGAGAGAGGGGAAGTGTAATTCTTTCCCATTACGATATTAGAGCAGAAGGCACGGTGGGGGTACTATTGACAAAGAACTAAGAGGACAGGATTCTGGAGCTGTGAAACCCAATAGCAGAGCAATGCTGCATAAGATCTGTTTTATGATGTATCTGTTCCCATAAGGAAGATTTTGTTTGCACAAAGTTCTTTATGGTTGAAATATTTTTGAAGAACACAAATCTAGTCTCATTCCCTAGTAGTACATATGAAGAAACTGAGGTTCATGGAAGTGAAATGACTTATCACTAAATTGGAAGCAGAGCCAAAAACAGTACCTGGGATCTGTGTCAGTCAGGGATTTGGGTTGCCAGTTACAGAAGCCAATTCTGGATAATTTAAGCAAAGGCTCACCATCAATGTCAGAATTGATGGGAATCTGAGAGTCAGACCTGGAAATAGCAGGAATCAGGAGCACTCTGGAGGACCAAGAAGCTGGACTGAATCTATAGGAAGCCCAGAAATTTTCTCAAAACTAGAGAAGCCTGTTCAAAATATCAGGGCCTCTTCCACCTCGGGTGCAATGGATGGCACCAACCTTCCCCTCTTAGTCTTACATCACTTCTTCAAGACTCATAGTCCCAGGAGAGAGTACTTGCTGGCTGAGCTGAGGTCTCATACTCATACCTTGGCGAAACTGGAGCCAAGAGACACAGGTCTGGCCCCTTGAGCTCCCAGAATATCATCACAATTTCCCACCCACAATGGGTGAGGGATAAATGCCCCAAAAGGCAGCTGGGATACTGGTTAGGGGGAAAAGATGGGGACAACCCATAAGCAGCCACAGAAAGCCTGATGCCATATAGCAAATCCTGACACATGGGTAAATTGCCCCCAGACAGGAAGAGACACAAAAGGGAGGAAAGAATCCCTGCTGATGTTTAACCTGACTCTGATCTTCCGCAAAGTAAGCTCTTTTTTTTGCAGTTACATCCTTGGTGCAGGTGGGAAAAGCCCTGACAGTGTTCTCTGTACAGTCCAACAACTCATTACCAACTTGAAACTAGTTATTTAATGATCCTATACCCATTGCTGGACAACGGCTCTTTTAGAATAGTATTTCTTAAAATGAAGGTCTGGGTCCAAGGTTAGGATAAAGAGCAGGTTGGGTCTTTAGGGAAGTTATGATGGTATATTCATCATGGTTCACCAGAGAAACAAAACCAATAGGGGATATATATATACATACAGAGATGGATTTATTTTAAATAATTGACTCATGTGATTGTGAAGACTGGCAAATCCAAAATCTGCAGGGTAGGTGGCAGGCCGGAAACCCGGGGAGGAATTGCAGCTCAAGCCCAGTGTGGTCTGCTGGCATAGTTCGCTCTTCTGGGGAAGTCAGCCTTTTTCCTATTAAGGCCTTCAGCTGATCAGATGAAGCCCATCTGGGTCACCAGGATAGTCCACTTTTCTCGAAATTCACTGATTTACATGTTAATCTCATCTAAAAAAATACCTTCAAAGAGACATCTAGAATAATGTTTGACCAAATATCTGGGTACCACGATCTAGCCAAATTGACCCTTGAAACTAATCATCACAGATGGGTCTCAGAAAAAGAGCTGAAAAGTTTTAAAAAACTTTACAGCCAGCTGTAGCCCACATGTGATCTTGGGTAGCCACTTTCCTCTCTGAGCTTCAGTTTTCTTAGCTGTAAGAAGGCCTTGAGTTGGGTGGTCTCCAAGGGGCTAGGGTTAAAATAGCAAGGTGAGCATAAGCATTTACTTCATTCCCTCCCAGATTCTCAAGGGGGAATTTCCAACAGTTTGGAATGGTGAGTACTTGGATCAGACATGGAAACCAGGTAGAGAGCTCCTTAGGGTTTCCTACCCAGCACCAATTTCCTCCTTCCCAGCAGCATCCCAGCTTTTATTCAGGTTCCCATTTGACCTCACTGAGCCCAGGAACTTCAGGTGGAACAGACCTCGTGCTCAGCACCAGGCATTAGCCTGCTTGGCCTAAGAGAATTTTTTTTATCTCCCTGATATTGAATGGTTCAGAAACTCAGTCAATTAACACACACTTCCCTGGACACAGGGGTGGGTTCAGAAAAGGGTTCGTACCCACTTAGAGCCAATAAGATACAAGAAGTTTGCTGGCTCGGTGAAATAAGCCAAGTGGAGAAAGACAAGTGCCAAATGATTTTCCTCATTTGTGGAGTATAACAACGAAGCAAAACTGAAGGAACAAAACAGCAGCAGACTCACAGACTCCAAAAAGGGACTAGCAGTTACCAGAGGGGAGGGGTGTGGGAGGGCGAATGGGGAGGGAGAGAGAAGGGGATTGAGGAGTATTATGTTTAGTACACATGGTGTGGGGGGGTCACAGGGAAAACAGTGTAGCACAGAGAAGGCAAATAGTGAATCTGTGGCATCTTACTACATTGATGGACAGTGACTGTAATGGGGTATGGGGGGACTCGATAATATGGGTGAATGTAGTAACCACATTGTTTTTTCATGTGAAACCTTCATAAAACTGTATATCAATAATACCTTAATTTTAAAAAAAAGTTTGCTGGAAGCTTCTGCAAGAGTTACAGTCTCCTGCTTCAGAAATACTTGCCAGAGAGACCATCTGTCTTCCCTGGACACTGTCAGGTGTGGCCTAGCACCATGGCAGCCAGCTTGCTACCAGTGTGAGAGGGATCCAACTTGGGAAAGATGAGCCCAGGGAATCCCAGGAATCAAAGCTGGTGTCCTGGTTGTATCACATCTGACTACCCCTCAGTCATGGACTCTTCCAATTATGGGATCCAATAAATCTTCTTTATTTAAGCTAGTCTAAGTGAGTTTTGCTTACTTGTAACAAACGGAAACCTAACAGCCACACTTTAAAGGGTGCCATTGAAGTGTTTCTGGAATTGGTGCTAGGCAAACTCTCGACAGAATCCATCTCCTCTCCTGTCATGGAGGGGTGAGCACAGCAGACACAGCGATCAGGAAGCCTGCAGAGCAGGGCTCTCTCTCTGAGCAGACGGCTGTACCAGGCAGTACATCCATCCAGTGGTGCTTTCTCTCTAATGCCCTAACAGGGAGACATCACTCTATCCACGGAAAGATGCTACAATCAAAAGAAGAGGATCATCCTGGAGATCGGGAGGAATTCTCCAACCTGAAATAAACTTATGCAATGTTTTACAAAATTTACGAAGTAGATGTAATTGTTTAATATGCTCAGCATCCCTCCCTCACCTCCTTTGATAATTGGCCTCTTCCAATGGACACATGTCTGGGAATGAGACCCAGGCTAGAGCAATAAGTTTATCCCTGAAAGCATTCCCTGAAACCAGAAGAGAGAAATTCTATCATCTCTTGGATTACAGAGCTGAAAAGATATGAATTTGGTGTCACTTGGGTTCACGTTTCTGACCAGAGGGCAAAAATCCAACTGCAGTAGGAGAAAATGAAGCTAGTAAGGCTAAGGCAGGGGAGAGAGTGGTTGGGGGCGAGATTGAAAATGAATGACCTGGAACATGAGGTTCCTGGTTCCAGCCTCTCTCTGAGGTCCCGGGAGACATTCTAGCTCCTGACCATCTCCCTTCAGTCTGTCAGCTTCCCCAGTGTCTTTCCAATGAAGAACCCTTTTCCTTCCGGCTGGTTTCTGCTGCTTGCTTGGCAAACAGGGCTTCTGCTTCTTGTTCTTATCCAGCCAAACAAGGGAACACTGGCTGATAGAAAGCAAGAAGTCATAAGGAGGGATCCCTCTGAGATGGGGAAATATTTTCAGGGAGAAGGAAACTGCACATGCCAAATGAAAAACCACATAGAGGCAGAGCTGCCAAAAATTAAGTTAGTGAAGAAGACAAACTTAAGAAATTCACCTAGAACTTAAGGATGTTGTCAGGTCAGGGGTCCCGGATGGTGAGGACGGTGATGCCTCTCAAAAGCAGGCACCGGAGACAAGGCTCGTGGCGCAGGTCTAATTTTATTGAGGGGGGGTTACAACTTATACAGTGGGCTCCTTCTTGGTTCCTGGAACTACACCACTCAGACAGCCTCCAATCACAGCGGCACTAGCTAACCGCACTATGGGGGAGTAGGGTAGGAGAGGGCAGGTCTCTGTGCTCAGACCTTGTCTTCCGGGTACACAGTGTGCTGTGACCTGTTCTGGTGAGGTGGGTTTTCCCAACCAGTGGGCCTTGGGGCCCGGGAGCTCAGTAGTCCTGGTCCCTCTGGTACCTTCACCGTTTTGGTCCGGGCTTGGCTCTGTTCTCAGGCGTCCCTGAGGAAGGTTATGAAGGCAGCTGCTGCTTGTTGTCTACCCACAAAGGGATAAATATGAAAAGGACAAAACCAAGAGTAAAGGGGGGAACACATTCAGGAGATCCAAGACAGACATACGGGCCAATAATCCTTGATTCAAAACCCTTGGAGTCAGATGTGCTTCAGGATTCAGCACTTAGGGGATTTCAGAGAGATGGTGAAGTGCATTCACTGATATTACATACACCCCCCAGCAGGGCCTACCTCAGCACTCTGTAATCAAAAATACATTTTTGCAGTAAGACGTTGAGGAAATAAAGACAATAAATAGTCTGACATCATGTCAGATCAGAGTTTATTGCCAAATAAGTGTTGACAGCTCATGAGAAAATTTTTGGTTTTCAGAGATTTTAGGATTTTAGAATTGTGACTAAAGGGGTCCCAAAAGGAGAACACAGAACTGATAAAATTGGAGTAATAATCAAAGAATCAAAGGGGGAAGACATTCAAGAGCTGAAGATAGTAAAATTTTGAAACTCAAGAGGTTAGAGTGTCAGGTAAAATTAATTTAAATAAGATATCATTGTGGTCTGGTCACATTTTTATTGAGAGAAAGAAAAAAACCTGTAAGAATATAGAAAATTCTAATAAATAATTTATTATACTGACTTAATAAGTCTCTGTACCAAACTTTTTACCCCACACAGAGTAAATACCGTTTATATTACAAATTATACATATTGTATAATTTACTAGTGTATACATACACTAGAAAGATCATACACAAAGAAAACTCAACTATTTCTAAAAAATAACTTGACCAAGTTCTCCCAGCTGGAAGGTAACGGGAGATGGGAAATCAGTCTAGAGTTCCAACTCTGAACTTCTCCCAATATCTCAATATTGTGAGGCCGCAAATGGATAATGATTCACTTCCAAATACTGATCGCAGAGATAAGTCTTGTAATTTGGCAATAAGGACTGAAACTGGCTGAATGCCCAGAACAGAATAAATATTCAATAAATGTTAGTTGAATGAATGAACGAGCTAATGAAAACATGAAACAAACAGGCTCACCAACGAACTTTGTATTTTACATGGGATATACTCAGAGCACCACTCTCTTCTAAGACACGGTTGAGGAAGGCAGTTGTTCCTTTATCAAGTAAGTGATAGAGACAAGCTGCCATTAGGTACCATTAGAGGAAGCATTTAGACAAGGATGTACAGGCAAACAAATTGCAGTGAAACTTCCTTAGGGTGACAGTGATCAATGGGAGACAGGGCTTAGAGAGCCTTAATGCTCTTCACTTACTCTTCCTCAAAACTTTTTAAGCTTCCCTCATGGTGACTGATTCCAGAGTAATGCACATTTAATTCAGCTTCTAATGCAGGGAAATCAATAACATAGCACCACAGACAGTTTATTACACATAATCTGAAGTTTAACACATAAATAAATAAGTAATATATATAAAGCATGGCACTTAAAATAATATGGGGACTCATCTTGTCCCACAATTCAACATACTTCTTATATCTTATTAAATATTTCACATTAAAAAAATAATAACTGTAAAAATCTATGCTGAAATTTCTTGGGAATTTTTTCTTTAAAATAATAGTTATATGGCTTTTTAAAAAAATTTTTTAAGGTATGATTGATATACACTCTTATTAAGGTTTCACATGAAAAAACAATATGGTTACTACATTTACCCATATTATCAAGTCCCCACCCATGCCCCAGTGCAGTCACTGACCGTATAATGGCTTGTTAATACTTTTTTAACTACTTTTTTAATACCACTTCACAAGTTGTCATCACATACCTTACCTTATTTTGATTTTCCTCCACAAATCCTTGTGAGTTAGATAGGACAAATAAACCCATTTAGCAGTTGAGGAAACCAAGGTATGAGGAGAAGAATCCAGCTATGAGAACTGGGAGTCTAACACCCAGTCGAGGGTATTTTTAGTCCTGACAGGGACTTGGTTCCTCTGGAGCTGGTGGGGCAGGGAGATGAAAGTAGTTTGACCCTGAATTGTATCTACCACTGGAATTTAGACATGTCTGGATTTAGTAAGCTAGGCTCACCAACAGTCTTTATGTTTTCTATTTGTTTTGTTGTTTTTGGAGACCTCAGGTGGAGAAAGTTGAATTAACCACAGTCCTTAATTTGTGGCACATTATCATTGTCAAGGAACCACTCTCATTTTATTCAATTATATTTTCTTATTCTATGCTCCATCCCTACTCCATTTATACGAAGTTCAAAACAGGCAAAGTTACCAGGGCTGGGGGGACCAGTGGTGTTCCTGGTAATGCTTGAGTTTTTTATCTGTGTCATTGTTGTATAGAGTTACTTTGCAAAAATTCATTTTGTTATATACTTGTGATGGGTGCAGTTTTCTGTGTGTTTTACTTCAGTAAAACTTTACTTTAAAAAAGTCCTGCTTGAACTTTTTAATGAATTTCATAAGTTTATAGATTAATTTGAGAAAGAACTGACATCTTAGAATTGCTAAGTTATCCTATCCATAAACATGTTAAAATTTTGTTAAGAGGAATATTTGTCATCAAGATACAGGTCTGTCATTTTTTGTTCTTGTGTTTTTGCAAATGTCTGGATTTAGTATCAAAGTAATGCTGGCCTCCTGGAATGGGAGGGAGAATACATATTCCTTTTCAATATTCTGGAATAGGTTGTAAACAATTGGTATACTATCTTCCTTAAACATGGGAAAATTCACCAGTGAAGTTATCTGGGCCTGCAGTTTTCTCTATGGGACAATCTTAACTTCAAGATTCTATTTCTTTAATAGAAATAGGCTATTCAGGTTATCTCTTTCTTCTTGAGTGAGCTTTGGTAGGTAGCTTTTAAGAGGTTTATCCATTTCATCTAAGTTGTCAAATTATTGGTAAAAGTTATTCAGACAATTCCATTATTCTCTTAAAACCTGTAGAATCTGTAGAGATGTCTTCTCTCTCATTCCTCAGATTGCTAATTTTTCTCTTCTCTTTTTATGCTGATCAGTGTGACTAGAAGTTTTCAATTACATTAATCTTCCCAAGAATCAGCTTTTGGTTTCATTGATTTTTTTCTAGTTTTCTGATTTTCACCCTAGTATTTATTATATCCTTTCTTCTGATTTCTTTAGGTTTAATTTGCTCTTCTTTTTCTAAAATCTAAAGGTGAAGGCTGAGAACAATGAAATGAGACAAAAGATCAACAGAATACATGGACTCAAGAGACAGCTCCACACATATATGGTCAACTGATTTTTTTTTATGAAAGTGTGAAGACAACTTAGTGGAAAAAGGACAGTCTTTTCAACAAATGGTGCTAGAACAATTAGATATCCATATGCAAAAAACATAAATTTTGATCCATATCTCATAACATATACAATAACTAACTCAAATGTGTCATAGATGTAAGTATAAATCCTAAAACACTAAAATTTCTAGAAGAAAACATTGTGACCTTGCATTAGACAGGGATTTCTTTGCTACACCAAAGCCATAATCTATAAAAGAAGAAATTGATGAATTGGGCTTCAGAAAAATTAAGAACTGCTCTTTGAAAGACGTTGTTTCAAGAATAAAAAAGACAAGCTGAAATTGGGACAAAATACTTGAAAGTTGTTTACTTGACAAACAACTTGTATTCAGAACATATCCAGAACACTCAAGACTTAGTATTAAGGAAACAATCCTTTAAATGGGCAAAATATTTGAAGAGATGTTACCACAAGAAGACATGTGGATAGCCAATAAACATATAAAAAGATGCTTGGTATCATTAGTCATTGATGCAAACTAGGACCACAGTGAGATATCACTATGTACCTATTAGAATGGCTAAAATTAAAATACTACTCATACCAAGGGTTAGTGAAGT